AGTATTTTTTCCTGCCTCATTGTTGGCAGGGAGGAGTAACCTCAGACCTTCACTCAATGACCATGGACACGTGCTCCTGTTCCACAACAGTCCTGGGTAATCCTGAATCTGCCTGAGATAGAATCATAGAATAGTCAGGGTTGGAAAGGACCTTAAGATCACCCAGTTCCAACCCCCCTGCCATGGGCAGGGACACCTCACGCTAAACCATATCACCCAAGGCTCTGTCCAACCTGGCCTTGAACACTGCCAGGGATGGAGCATTCACAACCTCCCTGGGCAACCCATTCCAGTGCCTCACCACCCTTACAGTAAAGAATTTCCTCCTTATATCCAATCTAAACTTCCCCTGTTTAAGTTTGAACCCGTTACCCCTTGTCCTGTCACTACAGTCCCTAATGAAGAGTCCCTCTCCAGCATCCCTATAGGCCCCCTTCAGATACTGGAAGGCTGCTATGAGGTCTCCACGCTTCCCAAAGATAGGCTTTGGGAAGTGAACTTGTCAGGTCTGTGCCCTCATGGAGCTTCCCTCCTTCTGCAAGCAAAGCAGGAGCACATCTGTCCTCTGAAGTGCCAAGAGGCAGAGTCCCCTTGAGTCAAACCAGGACGGTGAGTCACGTCTCAGTAACTGCTTCCCCAGACCTAGAGCATCACTGTGGGGGGAGTTTGGGTCTGGATTTTAACGCTGTTTGGCTCCATCTGGGGCATATCTCCCTGCAGTTCATTCAACTTCCTTGCTTTGTTTTTTCTGCTTGTTGTTGTTGTAACATAGACTTCAACTGTTGATGTTTTGAGAGTTTAAAGCTGGGCTGCTCATCTATTTGCTCCCAGTAAACATCGCTGTGCCGTGCAAGAGACTTGACTTTGCTGCCAAGGCCAAGAGCAGCTGAAAGCCTCTTTGTCCTTAAATATTAATCAATTTGCATTAGAAAACAAATCGTTTAGCTTTTCCTTTAGGGAATATCTATGGTCTTCCTGAAAAAAACTTATAAAACTTGGTCCTTGGAGAAGCTGGCAATGGAATTTCAAACATGCTAGACCTAAGACGAGAATTCTTTTGCTTTTCTTGGCTATTTTGGCATACCTGAAGCCACTTAACTGTAAAACCACTGCTTTCCACTGTCCCTAGTCACAGATACTATCATCTTCTGGAGGTACTGATATGCTCCTCTAGCGAAGAATGCAGCACATAAAGAGAAATCACCACTTAAAAATAACCCTGCTCATGGAAGAAGCTTGGAAAGAAGATTTGTTTTCTCAGCAAACCAGTAACCCAAAGCATACAACAAAATGTGTACAAACCCCAAGAATAAAAGCATCGAGTGTTTAGTGCCTTGGCAAGCGAACCCAGCTGATTTGAATCCAGCAAAAAGAACTTGGAATTCATTACTCTTATGTATAGGCTTTTGTACAGTTTCTGCCCCTCGTTGCTGTCTCTGCTAAAGAGAGTAGGAACCCTAGATGCTGGATTCCTGATGTACTATGGAGACCCTGGATGAAGCTACAATCTCACATGTCTATCCCATTCTTTTCCTTCCTTCTGAGCCTTTTTGCATCCCTGGACAGATGAGTCAGAAGAATAGAAAGAAAAAGGATGTGACCTTTTTGAAGGCTATCACCATTTTTGCTGGGCTTCTTGTTGCCTGTGTAACATGTGGCATGTGACAATGCAGTGATTTCTGGGAACTTGTGCATACCGCTGCCTATGCGCCCTGTCAACGTCTGGGATTGCAACAGGCATCACATCTGGAACATCACAAGCGGAGATATCACATATCTGGGAACCCCAGACAAGTGCTGAGCTGCCTCTAAATTCATCTGGGCAAAATTCCTGCGTGGTTGGAAAAAGCACATCCAGGAAAATCAGGCATATGGTAGGCTTCCCACTCACTAGCAGAGCTCTGCTGGCCAAAGTCCTAGAAAGCATGCTGGTAGAGCACAGCAACATCCTTTGCTGATAGCGCTTACTCCACTCGAGGAGGTGACTCAGGCTCCAAGATGCAAGCCACGTCTCTGCTGATGGTGTCGCCAGCACAGTTTGACCCATTTATTTATGCCAGTAAAGCTTTTAACTGGCAGACAAGAGCTAGGAGCAGCGAGAGGAGCTCAGAGGAAGATCTCTGTGGCTCACTGTGAGGACAGCTGGTCTCGCTATCACTGTCAAGAGATGGAGATGCTGCCAATTCTGCTTTCTCCAGAAATGAAGAAGGAGCTGCACCCCAGCTGGAGGACCCGGGGAGCCTTCTGGAGCAGATGAACATCCCTGCTCAACAACGCCAATGCGTCCTAAGGGGAAAAGCCGGTACAGGGAGTTTATTGGAGCCCAAATCCGTGTTCAGACCTCACCAACAGAGAAAGACAAGCTGAAGGAATCCAGAGGAAGTTGAAGACTCTGTTTGAACATGGCACAGATCGCGTTTATTGCTGTGAGCAGGGCCTGGACTGTCGAAGTTGGGGTTGTATTTTGGGTTTTTCCCTCTCCCAGATGACTCTAACCCTGTATCTCTATTTCATCATTGTGGGTTCAAGGATGAACTTGAACACTGGCAGATTTTAGGAGCATTTTGTTTCTCAGATGAGGAGATTTAAGGCCTGAACCTGCCTCCTCAAAAAAGCAAAGACATTTCCCATTGTGGATAGAAGCAAGTTGCTTCATTGCTTCCATGGGAGATGTATCCAGGTGGATACTGTGCTTCAAACTCTTCTGAGGTAACTGTGAGATCCTCATGTAAACACAGTGCCTCTACCCTGTGCAGTGATAAAAGCACATCTCATCCATGCACTAGTGTCTGCATTTTCTACAGACAACGAGCACGTCCTCATCCTGGGGATGGAGTCATAATGTGGAAGTATTTGGTTTGCATTTGTGTTACAGCACAGCAATTCAGGAGCACATCTGAGCATACAAAATTACTCTGCTGGAGAAGATCAAGGGCTTGGCCATTCCTGGATCAGAACAGATTTAGATTAAAATGGGCTTTCTCCCATTTGTAAGACGTATCTATTGCCTGTGCTTCCAAAGGATCTTAATGCACAGATTGATGGAAAAGCACTATGCAACTGATTAGAAATCCCTGTTGTGTCTTTGTTTGTTCACGTCTTGTTTTGACAGTAAACTTGTGTGAATGACTCCACTACTCGCTCTCCAGATTTTCAAGCTACTGAACATCACAGTATTGCTGCAGAACAGCGTCTGTGAGCACTATTGCTGCTTCACTACATACATTACATCCAATCTGTGGGGAAGTTGAGGGACATGGTACCAGGTCCAGTGATGAGCTAGCTGAAGAGACGGATGGGGATGGCTATTTCTCAGGCTGATGCTTTCATTGGTGGAGGCTTCTCTGTACTGCCAAACCACATGGGTGACGTGGAGGCTTGGCACCCATAATCCATCATGTATTGGGGTTGCTCGGCATCTGTGGGAAAAGAATTCCAAAGGTGATCTCTTGGAAAGTGGCAGAAATAGCAAACAAAACCCCAAGTATGATGGTAGGGACAACAGAACAGGACTTGTATATTCCTTGGCAGGGATCTGTCCCTTGTGAAGCTCTAATAGCGTTGGCAAGGTGGGCTCTTGAAATGCTTGACTAAGGTAAAACGGAGCTGTTCCCTTTGGGAAGTGAAGAACTGGCACAATTCTTTAGGACTGTAATAAGTCTGAATTGCTCCTTTGTGCGAAGAGCAGGCACTTCTGAGGCCCATGTATCAGATCAGAGTGAAACCCCTTTGATATGACTACTTTATAAGTTGCTTTTGTTCAGCTGAGATTGCAGCATCAATGGTGGCGAACATTATACCTCAAGTGGGAGGCAGGAGAGCAGAGCACGGGATGCTGTGCTGGTGTGGGGATGCTGTTGAAAAGGCTGCTGCAGTTGCCAAAAAGCATGAGTTATTTTCTTCAGTGATGCTTCTGCTTCTCCCTGTCAAAACTAAAGTATGCAGGCAGCCTTGCAGCCAACGGGGCCAAACGATCTCCCCGGGCTCCCTAAGGAGAGTGTGCTGTGCTCGGTTACACAGCTGATTGCTGCTGTGTGCGTTGCAAGGAGGGCTGGCAGGTTCTGCACCCACACTGGGTGCACAAAGCAGCCCAGGGTTTGTTTCTGGTTGCTGTGGTTCCCACCTGGAGCTTGGCATCCTGCTTTGTTTCTAGCTGCCTGATCGGTGCGTTGTGATTTCTGTGTGCTGTGTGTTGCAGTAGTTATAGGACAAATAGAGGGAAGATCATTGCACTGTGAGTAGAAAGCTGGGCATGGCAGGGAGATAGAAAATTAAACCTGCTTGTGTTACAAGGCAGTGTGATATTATTTATTATTCTTATTATTATTACCACCAATTATTGCAAGGTAAAAATAAGGAGAATTCCTGTTAAGGCAATGGTTCTACTGCCAGTATCCCAAAACCATATAAAAATATTGATATCCCATTCAGTGCCATAGTTGGTGGTGAAAGAGACAGCTCTTAAAGCAGTGGTGCACAGATGGGAGCTCTGCAGACCAGAGGGAACGTTTTGTGGGGTCAGGATAAATGTGCTTTCCCCAGTTCAGCCCTTTCTGTAGCAGCAGTGGGGTCGGCACCATATTTCAGCTCAGTGGATGATGTCTTCAAGGAGCACTGCTGAGACCCCTCTTTGGTATCCTCGAGGATGCTTGGACACATCAGATGGTTTTTCCATCACCCGCCTGTCTTTGACTGATCTGGAGATGACAAATGTCACCTTTCAGCCAGGCTGTCCTGTAGTCGCTTGTCACGGAAACCTTTCCACCTTTGAGCAATGAGGTTTCCTTCTCCTCCATGTGTTGGAGCAGCTCAAGAACAAACTCAGCTATACTCCAGTAGTACCTGTGAATTGTGGCCTTACCTGACTTCCTTGTTGGTTCCCATGGGAATAGGATAGGATGGGTGAGGATGCTATGAAGGTTGAATGTGCCAGGGAAGTGGCCTGGTTGGAATGGGTCTTCTTTGCTTTCCTATTCCAACAGCTTCTTTTTCAATCCTAGGGACCAGAAGGGAAACCAGGAAAACAGGGGGAAAAGGGCAAGCCTGGCCAGAAGGTAAGAACATCTCCCATTGATAACGTCTCCTCCTCTGGATCTCCCATTCTTTGCTCGTCTTTGCTATTGATCCATAGAAGCAGCTTTGTCCTACAGTAACATCAGTGCTTCCGTTCTGCAGGGCAGCAAGGGCTACCAGGGGCAGCTCGGCGAGACAGGAGCTCCAGGGAAGGAGGGGCCGAAGGGGAACCAAGGCCCTAAAGGATCCCGAGGTACCCTGGGACCGATGGTGAGAATGCTTGATGCAGATGGTTGAACACAACACACAGAACCATGACTAGCAGTGGTGGGCACAGGCCTGAAGGAAGCAGAGAGCCCAACAGAGGCTTCAGGGCAATGTGTTAGATGGATTTCATTGACCAAAACAGCTCAATGTGTGCTCTCAGTAGCACAGGAGAGACCTCATAGAGGCGGTTGTGCTGGTGTCATAGAATCACAGAATGCTTTGGGTTGGAAAGGACCTTAACATCTTCCAGTCCCAATGCCCTGCCATGGGCAGGGACACCTCACACTAACCCATGTCACCCAAGGCTCTGTCCAACCTGGCCTTGAACACTGCCAAGGATGGAGCATTCACAACTTTCCTGGGCAACTGTTCCACCACCCTCACAGTAAAGAACTTCTTCCTTCTATCTAACCTGAACTTCCCATTTCAGTTTGAGCCCATCACCCCTTGTCCTACCACTACAGTCCCTGTGAATCCATGCCCTGTGAGCCCAGCTCACGTTGCATCGTGGAGACTCTTCACAACTCCCCAGATGGGCTGAAATAGTGGGGATTTTTCTGGAGAAGGGAATAAACTGATAAGCTGTTATTTTGCTATGATCATCCCCTTCGAGACCTCACGCTCATGTCAAGAGCTGCTTCCAAGTCAAACTGTGTTGTTACAAGGAACTCTGCCTTGGACTTCTGCCCTGTTTCTACACCCACTCTTGAACTACTTATCTAAAACACTTGCAGCAAGAAGAATTACAGCATGGGAAAGAGTCTGAGTTGGGGACTGAAGGTGAGGCTTTCAGAGGGAATAGTGTGATGGACAGGGAAGAAAAAGTTCATCTGCTTTAGGTACATGAGACAAATGCATTGGGACAGCAGCAGTAAGTAGTAAGTACAGGCTGGTAAGGAAGCTCCTTGCACTAAATTTGGTAGAACTTAGTGGAGAAGCAGTTGTTTATGAACTCAGGATCACGGTGATGTTTCAGAACAGTAGCAAATGAGTGATGGAGCAATGGTTCTGCTCATAGTGTTTTCCTGCACTAAAAGTTATGGCCTCCCATATATCCTCCCGTCGTATTCTTTGCCAAAGCCTCCATGGATTATTTCACAAGGAAACAAAGCAATGGCTGAGCAGCCGTCCATTGGACTGAACATGTCTCTGTCTTGTGGAAAGGGCTTTTCCACGCTAAATGGGATGATATGGAATGGTTGCAGTTCACTTTAATCTGATGATCTGATTTAAAGCCCTTTGTTCAGACTGCTTAAGATGCAACAAACAGCACTTGCAGTGCTCTCATCACAGCCCAGAAAACTCCTTTCTTGGCCTCAGAACCACACCGAAAGGTTTCCTCCCAACAGTTTAGGCCAAGCTGAGAGTGGTTTCACTGGTGGACTTACTTCCTAGCACAAAGCTGATTTGGGTGTAAAGACATGTAGAAGGGCAGATGAAGAGCATACATCGTGCGGCCTTTTCTGTTAGTAAATTAGAATGAGGTGGGGAATATAAATGCTGGTAAAGACATCGAATGATGGACTCCTAACATCAGTCTCCATGTGTAAGAGAGAAAAAGCCAGGCAAAAGCACTTCAGGTGGCCTCAGTTGGATGTGGTGCTGAGCTTTGCTTTGCAGAGCCCAGTGCATCCTCCTCTTGTGAGGTGATATCCATATGGGCTACTCTCATGGTGCTTTCTGTGCTTGTCTCTCCAGGGTGCTCCAGGAAGGATGGGTACTCAAGGGGAACCTGGCTTAAAGGGTTACCAGGTAAGGATTTTATTGTAGCTTCTGTCTGTTCTCAAATGCAAAACTGCCGTTCCAGGATGTAAAATCATTCTTACACTAGGATTTATTTCTGATCTTGAGTTCAGTTTAGTTCTTTCTCAAGTCTCGCTTTGTACCATCAAGACTTCTCCAAATCATTTGGTTCATCTCTGCCATGAGTCATGGGTCCCTCCAAAGCTGGGATACACAACAGAGGGCTTGAGGGAGACTCTTCAGTCAAACACCTCCTTCCTGTCTCATGTGTTGTCTGCTCTCCACAGGGACACGCAGGACCACCAGGGCCAATTGGACCACCAGGGCCGAAGGGGGAAAAGGTAAGAGTCCGTATGCGCTTGTGATGGTGGCTGATGCCTTCTGGGGACATGTTTTTCCTGCATCCATAGAAATTCTGCTCTATCTCCAAATCAAAGGAAATCAAAAGGTAGCTTCCTGTGATCAAGTCAGAATAGCACCCTGCACAAACTAACCAGTCCTCAGCAAACTGGGCTTAAATCAGCTGATAGCCTGTTGTAAGTGGGGCAGGACTGGTCTCTCCTCCTTAATGCTCTTGCTCTGCTCTCACCAACCCCGTTGCCAGAGCTGGGCTGAGTCAGAGCCCTTTCCCCTTGTGCTTTCCCCCTTTTGCTGAGTCAGCACGGCCGTAACCAGCTCAGGCTGGAGCAGTGACTCACATGTTAATGGTTTCCTGTCGGTGGTGTTGGCTGTACTCACAGAGCCCCGCACGTGCCTCCGGCAGCCGCAGCGATGCTCCGGCCCCAGCGTGGGAAGGGAAGGGATGGTCATTGGCAATGGTCAGTTGTGGGGTCCCCATGAAGAGGGGAAATGCACTGAGCTCTTTTCACTCCTTTTCCACTCCCCGTCATGGAGAGCTTCACTTTCACAGCCAAAGTGTGACTGCAGCTGGATGTGTGCAAGGAGCATCATTGCTTGTAAAAGGAGGCTGTGGGATGGAGATCCCAAGGGCTCGTCTTTGCATTCACATGCATCCATTCAGCTCAGGCTCCTGCGTGTCAGGACACCCTGTTCGTGATGCTCTCTGTGCTCTGCCTGGACACTCCTTGTGCTGCAGTGAGTCCCCGTGCTGGTGGCTGAGAGTCAGTGGGGCAGGGTGAGCTGCTTGTATGGCTGTGGGGATGAACGGTGGTCATGCTGCTTTTCCAGTCATTTCCTGCTGCTGAAATGCATCCACGGAGGATGGATTTCATCACCATCAATGCTGTTGATGTTCCTGCTGCTCTGCATCTCCATCAGTGCCTTGTTGGATTTCCTCTCCACCCCCAATGCTGCCCCATCCGCTTCCCAAGCTGCACCTCTTGCTCTTCCAGACTTCAGCAGCATTCCTCCTCTGCTATATTCTGCTGAGTGGCCATGTGGAAGCTGGCAAGCGTTAACCAAGCACAACCAGCCGAGGATAGTGATGTGAGAGCTTATGACCAAGCACAATGTCAGTTGAGAGCCTGGCCAGAGGTTTCTCACAGTCCCACTGGTGAAACTTGAGCATCCTGGCAGAGAACTTTGTAGTTGTAGCTACCAAAAGCAAGATGAGTCATTGACCTTACAGCAGAAGGAGTAAGCAATGTGCAGATACATATCCCTGCTGTTTAAATTGCCTGCTGTTTTATCTTAAACCATTGAAAGTTGCCATCTTCTTGAAAGCTCCCATCTCTTCAGTAGTAAATGGTCCCCAAATTATTGACCTGAAGTTCTCAGTGAAGCAATCTCCTCTTCACCAACATGATATTGGACAACTGGAAGACAAATGGACACTGGAAGAGCATCCCTCAGAGATAACATGGATCTTGTGTCATCAGAGCACAGCAACGCTGATGATGGAATGAATTCCACATGCAAGTATCCAAGCTGAAGCCTCACAAAGACACCAAAGCATCTAATGGATCCTGCTGAGAGCAGTCAGGTCTCTAATGAGCTTTGACAGCCAGATCTCACTCATGTCCTCCTGGAAGGTGAACAGGTCTCAAATACCTTGGTACCTTGCTGAAGAACAGAGCAAGGAGAGCACAGCATCCCATGCTGAGCCTCCACCATCCTTCCCTTCAGCATCCAGGATCTTGCATCTAAGTTTTCTTATCCATCTTTCCTTCTTATCCCCTAAGAGTCGCCTGGAACCCAGCCTAAGGACAGACTCCTTCCCTCTGGACATCTGTAACCTCATACATGCGTGCAAACATGAATATGGAAGCCTGAATCTGAGAAAATGAAGAGGGAAAGAAAACGGGTCCATGGCTGCTCTTTGAGCTTTAAACAATGCAGTAAACTGAGCAGTGCTGAAGAAGGAGGATGAACAATAACAGGGAAGGTCTTCCCTCTTCCAGAGAAGCAAGCAGCTTGGTGAGAGGCATTCCTATGGAATCCAGCTCCCTTGTGCCATAGCAGGCAGCTACTCCAGTGCCTTTAATACATTTACAGCTCCTCAAAGAGGCCTTGCTCGGAGCAGACGCCTGCACTTGGCAGCTGCTTAAAGCAGTCCAGATGGGATCCTTTTAGAAATTACAAACTGGTGTATCTCACTTTGGGACAGGAGCCAAGAACAACAACAAGCCTTCCCTTCTTCCCCATGCGTTTTCCATTTGTATCCCAACATGTTTACTTTGCTGCCCTTTACTCTAACTTCTTTGCACTGCAACTTTCCAAAGGATTAGCACAAACCTTTCATGTCCCCCTTGAGCAGCAAAGGAAGTCCTGGAGGAGCTCGGTCCATGGCTGACCAGGCTGCAGGGTTTTCGCAGTTAGAAGACAAAGGGAAAGTTGGGAATTAAACTCAAAGGGACACAAAGCTACAATTCAGCTCTGGGGAGAAAGTGTGTGAGTCTTGATGCTCTTCAAGGGTCTCCAGAATTGAGCTTTCCTTGAGTTCATCACATCTCAGCTCCCAAAAGGCAAGGTGTTCACATCCTGCTTGGAAAGAAGAAATCAGCGCCAAGACTTCGGCACAGTAACATGTATAATGGGACCTATTGGGTTTTTTTTTACATGGGACTTAAGGAACAGTGACTTTGATTCCCTTCTAACCTAATGCCTTTGATAGTGGCTAGAAAGCAAACCAAGTGCCAGGTTCTGCTACTGACTACCAGCAAGTTCAGTAGTGCTGGAGACTGGTGGCAGAGCCTATTAGGCATTACTTCCCTTTCTCTTTATTTCACCACCCAAATGTCTCCATCCATTCCCTCAGTACTGTATTCTGGAGCCATCCTGGCACAGTTTCTCCCTATGTATTTCTCCAACCATGATACCTCCCCAGAACACCAGGCAAATATGCTGGAGTTCCCCACCCAGCGCATGGTCTCTTACGGACAGTAAGTATACCTGTGAGTATATACAAAATCCTGGCAACATCCATCCAACACGTTGCAGTACAGAGAAAGAGAACGCTGCTGTCAGCAAGCATGTGGTGGAGAGAGGTGCACTGAGCTCTTTGCTACCTGTTAACTGCAGTAGATTTTGCCAGATCTTGAGCCTCATTCTACTGAGCAAATCACCCCAAATGTCTTCTTCCAGAGGCAGAATCACTAAGAAATTACCCAAGCACCCTTACTGCAGCAGCTACAGCTCAAACAGAAGATAGGAGTAGCCCAGAGAGAAAGTTCAGCAGTCATAAATACACCAGAAAGGCCTGGTGCAACCACTGAGAATTACACAAGTCTGTGGGAAACCTGGCTCTGCGTGGCTGTGGATGGTTGGGTTTCAAGGCTCTAGGATCACCCCAAGCACCCCAGACACAGCAGCCCCAGGCCCCCCCCAGACCTCCTCTCTCCATTAGCTGCAATGTAAGAGGCACTCTGAGACACATTCATCCCAGGGAGCCAGAGTGCCAGAGACTGAGCGATATGAAGTAGCCAAAAAGTGGAGGAGCTGGAACGTGGCTGTCTTCTACGGGGAGCAATGAAACAACTGTCTCTGAGCCAGGCTCCAGAGCAAATAGGGCACCATGACCCTGAGTGACTTACACAACAGCATTAAGAAAAGGCAGTGTCTGCGTTCAGTCTCGAGGGATCTCTGTGGATGTTTTAGAGAGATCTCAGCTATAAATAAGCCAGGTGATGTTATCTACCAACCAAACCACGTGTGGAGCATCCCATCAGCAACTGGAGCTGCCTGACCCTCCCACCTGACCAGTTGTAATGCAAACCCACAGTGGTGGCACACAACCAGGGAACCCATCCAGACCACCCTTGTGCCCATGACAGCTCAGCCCTCAGTGAGGGTGGGGAAAGGCTTCATTAAAGAGCTTGGTTTCACTGTCGGCAATAGAAGCCAGAGGCAGACTGCTTCCCATATTGTTGTAATTATAAGCTCTATAACCCTTTGCACCTGGTTCTTTAGGGAGGACAGTTTAGACCAGACAGAAACAACCAGCAGAGAGGCCAGGAAAGCAATGTGAAGAGTCAGTGTGCTCCAGGTTGTGAAGCAAACAACAGAAACAATACAACAGAGCCTTTGACTTAGGAGCCTGTGGTATGGGAGGACTGAATTGGGTCTTAGGGAAGCATCTGCCACATAATCTGCTGTCTATATTAACACTTGCATTCTTATTCACAGGGAGAACAAGGAGATGATGGGAAGGTAGAAGGCCCACAGGGACCACCCGGAGACAGAGTAAGATGTTAAATCCCTTCTCTGATCAACCCTGGCCTGATTTTGGCAGAGTTGGTTCCCTGTAGACCATGTACAACCCGTTGAGGTATTGCAGATGACAGATTGTTTATGGCCACCTTGTTTTATTGTTGTAGGGTCCTGTTGGTGACAGAGGTGATCGAGGGGAGCCTGGAGACCCTGGTTATCCTGTGAGTCTTATTCCTAATGCATCATTCAGAAACTGTTGTCTCAGGGAAGGGCTTCCAGTCTGCATCAATCAGCCCACAGAAGGTCAACCCTTTGCCCAGTAGTCGTGATTCATGTCTATGGTCCCTTGTCAACCACTGCACATGGTGGTTTCAAACAAGGAGTAACTCAGATATCTATACCTCAGGTGTTTCTGAAAGCAAATGTGGGTGCTACAGGTCAGCATCTCACAATGCCATGCACTTACCCGAGCACACTATACTGGCAGAATGAGCAGGACCATCTCACCAGAGGTATTTGTGATTACCAAGGAAATACCCTGGGGAAGGTGTGTACCAGTTTGGTCGTGCCAGTGCTGGTGAATTCAAGACTGATGTGCCCATGGTTGTATTGTCTTTCATGGGGAGATCTCTGTTCACTACTGGTATTTCTGTCAAAAGCAAGAGCAGGGTTATGAATTATTCCCTGTGCTCCTGATGCTCTCTTTGCGGGACATCTTCTCTGATGGACCTGCAAAGTCTTACTGAGTCTTACCTCCATCCAAAAACAGCAGGTCAGAGTGACCCACCGTAGTAATCTACATAAGAGTTTCAATTCACCAGGGTAACAGTGCTGCTGCCTTACTTTATAGGACAGCAGTCTCCAACTGGTCACTTACATTAGTGCTGTGTGTAACTAGGAATGCATTAGAAAGCCTTCTTTACTGCTTAGATGGTGATTAGAGCTCCCCTTAGCCATTCCTTTCCAATGCACATCCATGGGAGCATATACACTACCTGCAAGCTTCAGCATTTCTGTATCAGCAGAACACAGATATGCAGGTCTTCTCCAATAGAGCACGTTACATCCCTTCTTGTTTCCCATTGCCACAACAGTACCCATGAATAAACATTTTTCCCCTCTGTTTTTCATTTAAGGGTCAAGAAGGACTTGATGGAGAAAGAGGAAAACCCGGCCAGCAAGGCTTACCTGTAAGAGATGCTGCTCTATTGTAAGCTACCCAATGTCCCTTGCATGTGAAAAGCAGATGCAGAAAGGAAGGAAGGTGGGAAGGGCTGCAGTAAGGAGTGTGCTGAGCTGTGAAGTGCAATGTGTGCATTTCCATGAGCCAGGCCTAGACAATGGGCATTTTGAGTCCACGTCGAGACTCAAGTGGGTGATGAAACAGGGATCATTCCCAGAAGCCTGTGTCCAAAACTGTCTTTTCTGAGTGATCCAAGAGGGATTAAAAAGCTTGGAGATGGGTGATGGGGGATGACAGTGACAGTGGAGGGGTCTGTTTGGGAGTGACACATCTGGCGTGCTGCTGGTGAGAGATGGGCCAGTGTGAGGTGAGAACGTGTTATTCTGCTGGCATTGATGAAAGACAAAATTAAATCCAAACTTAATGGAAGGACTTTTTATTCCCTTGTATATGTGACTACTGCAACTGTGAGTGCAGCACACTGAATGTATTTTGTATTGGGAAATAACGTGGAATCAATTCCCATTCTTTGTAGGGCTGTTGGGAAGAGCAACAGGTTCTGGTCTGGGACAAAATCTTAGTGCTCTATCAAATGGCCTTGAAGTGGGTAGAGCTGCTGCACTCCCAGTGGATGTAGTTTATTCTGAGGGGTGGTAGCACCTTGGATGTCAGTGGTTTAGATGGAGCAGAAGCTCTTTAAGTAAAGACCCGTTAGAAACATGTGGCTTATTGGTGTTGGCCAAGCAATTGTCCCTGACACAAATACACACATTTGGATGGCCAGAAGAAAAGGTGAAGATGTGTGTGATGGGAAAGAGAGCTGTGAAATATCCTCTCTGCTTCACTCCTCCGTAGGCAGATCTCTAATATCTGACATCCAGGCAAAACCAAGGAGAGGGCTGCAGCATGCAGAAGGGAGTCAGCACCAACACTAAGGATGCAGTCGCTGTGTAGTCACTGCCGTACCTTTCCCACAGCAGGCTCCTTCCTGCCCACTTCCAGCACAGTTTTCCAGGCACCATTGGGAATTTAGGGAATATTTTCCATGAGTGCAAGCACCACCCAAGGGAGGGGGTAGCACTGATCCAACTGACACCCTGTTAAATGCTCTCTGGAGACAGTTCCTTCCCTCTTTCACCCACGAGGGCCATCTGAGCACAGGCTCTTCCCCAGTGCAGTCGGTGTTAGGGCTGTTCTTTGCTGTGCACTTGGTGCAAGGTGACAGCCAGAAGAGAATTTCAAGCAGCTTTTTCTTGCTTGTGTTTTGCAGGGGGATCCGGGACCACCAGGCCAGCCAGGAGCAAAGGGATCCAAAGGTGATGTGGTAGGTTTCAGCAGGGTGGATTTATAGTGTCCCAGGTTTAAAGAACCGGCTGGGTTAAGCGTTATTCCCAGGATGTGTGATTCGCCCTCTGCTCTGCGCCTTGAAGGACCTGCTGGGAGGGCTGTAAACGTGCATTTGAGTGTCCAAGCCCAATAGCTTGGTGGCTTGGTGGAGCTAAAGAAGATGAAGAGAGTTTCAGTTTGAGCAGGTCTTCAGTCACTGCCATGGGGCTGTGTCTCCTTCCCATAGCCCTGTTCGTGGTGCCTCCAGCTGGCTCCTCTGTCCCTAAGGAGGTCTGAGCCAGGCAAGCGTCTCTCATTTGAACCATGAATGTTTCTGGCTTGAAACCTTCACGGATTTGGAGTCCATTTATCCATGCAATTATGTTTCTTGGAAGAGTCCCTCTATTGCCCTCATTGAGCAAGGAAACACAGCACACATGGGTCCTTCAGGGCTCATCGCGGTACCTCATACCTATTCCTTCCTCCACATCTGGCGGTACTGACAGCTTGCTAATTACTCTCACAGATCAGGGGCTTTATTTGCTAAAACATAAGAATGTGACCTCAGTGCTCAGCAAATCCCTGCTCCCTTTGGGCAGATGTCAGGATTTTAAATCTGAGCCTGCTGGGGTGATGCCAGGAGGTAGTGTAACCTCCTGTAGGTGTTATTGGTACATATAGTGGTATACATTGGTATATATATAGTGGACTAGGTGATAAGGGGAATAAACTCACCCATGGAAGGACAATCTGGAGCTGCCTTTGGGAGTAATGAATAGCAGAGAAAGCACCCCCAGGAGTGTTTCTTTCATGGAGCTGGTCCTGTGCAGATGGAGAAACAATGCACAGAAAAGGCTGTGCTTCTGTTTAGGAGTGCTTTAGTACATGACCTCACTGAGAGAGCCCTGGTGAAGGTGATGAGGCTGAGTTTTCCATTCATTCTGCACAAATTAATCCCTTTCACAGCTAACAAACCCCAGGAGGATTTTCTTTTCATGTCTCTATTCACATTGCACACTTCGGGCACAGGATACCCTTTTCATCCCCATCAACTTCCCAAAACAGGAGCCACCTCCCAGAGGAAAGCTCATCCTGAAAGCCATGCAGAAGACTCGCTGGGTCCTTGCTTTGGCACTGAGCTGCCCATGAACTGAGAGAGGACGCAGGTTTTAAGCATCTTGTTCTAATGTTTGCCAGTGCACCGAGTCCTCCCTCGAGTTCATCCTGCTTTCTTTGTCCTCATCTGCTCTGTATTAGGAAAAATGTAGGTCCTTGCCTTCTAGCTATTCATTCCTGCCCTAGAACTCTCAAGACGTACGAAGAATCGCTTGTAATAAAACCAAATAGCAGCTCATTGCCCAGTGTTGGAGCAACTGACTTTATAAATCTCCTTTCTCCACAAAACTCTTTCCAACCATTATCCAAATGCACACCCTCAGTCAGGCTCCCAAGTGGAGCTGGGTTAGAACTGCTGCAACTCTAGATGTCTGTCTGGCTTTACTTGCAGGGTCAAAAAGGAAAGCAAGGAGCACGGGGCAATGCAGGGAGCAGAGGCTCACCGGTAGGTAAAAACTCCATGTTCTGCTCCAGGAGATGCTGCCCAGGAGCTCCATCACTGACTCCTTTGTGATTTTAGGGCATCCTTGGCCTACCAGGTCCTCGAGGAGTGGTGGGAAGGCAGGGCCAAGAGGGTGCCCCTGGAGTGGATGGAGTGCCTGGGAAGGATGGCGTGCCTGGAATGCTGGTGAGTTTGCAAGTGTAATACAGCATCAACAGCAAAGGCAGCTTAGGAGCTGGAAAACCAAGAGGTAGCATAGGAGAAACGGAGGTTGTCCAGCTATAGATGGTCCAGTTTACATGTACCCACAGTAATTATAGGTCCCCCTGCATATCTCACATGCTGCCTGTGCATTGCCAAGTCTATAAATAAACCAGTGTTTCTTGCATGCACAGACTTCTGGATGCACCTCTGCCCATGGTGCTTGCTGAGGCAGGACCTCACCACTCCCTCATCTCTGTGCAGAGGTGGGAAGAGCATCTTGCTCCATAACCTTTTCTGGGTTTCTTTCCTAGGGAGAGCAGGGCGATGATGGGGAGCAAGGCGTGACAGGGATGTCGGGCAAAAGAGGCAACCCTGGCATACCAGGACTCCCCGGGGCACAGGGACCACCAGGATTCAAGGTGAGTTTCTGACTCCCTAAGTTACTGCTATGAGCAACCCTGTCTGTGAGCCTGTTGTCTCGAAAGCTTGGATTCTCCAAGGTCTAATAAAGCTTCTTCTCCTGCTGCTTTTCACTTAGTTAGAGGCTGCGTAGATCCCTTTCCTCCTTCACCCCTCCATTCTCATGATGTTCACAGCAGCTGAATGTCCCAAAGACCCTTTCTCCTCTGTTCACTGAGCTCACATACAGCGTATACCCTCACTACGAACACTTTAGCCTTCTTTCATTAGAAACAGGGTTAAGAACCAGGGCCCTGGAGAAGTGGCAAAGGAACTGCTGCAGCCTGCCCGTAGGATGCCCAAAGCTGATGACTCCTTGGGAGATTTGGGTGTCCTCTGGCTGCTGCTTTGCTAGGCCTGAACTGCCAAAGGGAAATCTGTGCTGCTTGGGGTTTAGCATGGATTTATTGCATTGGAATGGCTGGAGCCAGGATGGGCTTGGACATCACTCTGGGTGGAAGCAGGGCCAAGCTGCTTTAGTGACCTGGGGGGTTATTCCTGGTCATTACCCTAGTCCAGGCCACAGGATCTAAACGGGACCAGAAGCAATTCAGCCTTCTGTAGCCAGACTCAATGAATAGGAAGTCTCCAGCTGGGTGTGAGAGGCTCTCAGGTCTGGGTTAAATCGCTGCCTCCCATAACACATCACTCTTGGACTGTCACTTGCTGCCCTCCAGCTGCCTTGGGTAGAATAACAGGATGCTACCATAAGCGACTGCAAGACCTTGGTGTGTTGTGACAGATCCACACCCTGGCTCCAGGGAGATCTACTGCCCCTTTTCCATCTGCTCAACCATCCTTGGCTCTTGCTGCCTTTGCTCTTCTCTCCCAAGCGGAGTCACTGGGGCTTGTGCAGCTCCCGATGCATGGCAGAGGGAATTGATGGGGAGCAACATGTGGTGCTGGGTCTCAGAAGCCCCTCTCTGCAGTCGCTGGTGCTGGGGAGCACGTTGGCTTCGCAGGCTCTGGATTGCAGTTCTCCAGCTGGAGTCTTGGAGCATCCTCAACATTTTAGATGGATTAATCATCACTTGCGGGGGGCATGAGATTACGGGAAGCTCCAGGGCAGGACAGGCAACACATGGACGTGCAAACAGAAGAGGTTTCACCCCTTTGCTGCCCTTAGCCCTGATGCAATACAGCTCTGCTGAAGCTCATGCTCTGTGTGAAGCTCAGGAGGGGACCAAGCCATGCCCATCACTGGTGCATCCTGTGGCAATCCGCCGTAGCATCTCCTGCTGAAACCACATTCCTTGTCCCGATGAGCCACTCTTCCCCAGCTTTCCATCTATGGCTATTTTGCCTGAGCGTTGTTATATTTAGCTCCTGTCCTTCAGAATTACTTGAATCCTGTTATTTTTAGGGTGAAAGAGGATTGCCTGGACAGAGCGGCCAAAGAGGGAAGCGAGGATCATCGGGAGGAACAGGCCTTCCAGGGAGCCCTGGCGATCCAGGACCCAAAGGACAACCGGTTAGTGATGAATGGAGCTGATCAGCCCTCAATCCATGGTGTCTCCTGCAGGAAAGGGTGCAGATCCACAGGCTGGGATAGCAGGGTGAACCCTGGGAGGGTCTTTATGGATGAACCCATAACCAGGGTGTGCATGAGTGCTGGAGCATCACCACAGCTCCCTCCATCATGAGCGTTTCCCTGCTCACTTGTGCACAGGGATGTGTAACCCATGCCTGTGCTCCCCAAGACAACATGAGTGTCCACATCATCCTCATGCCTGTGGTTCCAGGCCATGGTGTGTGCTGGCAGCCAGGCTGCAGAACCATCTCAAGCACCCTCAGCACTGTGTTTATCAGAGCTGTTATAAGCACAGTGGGAGCCCATGGGAGGTATTGAGTGAAGGAGGTGAACCAGGCACCCTGAGCCACCCAAAGAGTGGGAAGGAGGGTCTATAGCTCCTCTGGGATGTGCAGGAGGTGCAGGAGTGAGTGTCATTGTGCAGTTTTAGCCTCAGTCAAAGCAGAAGCTGAATTCCCACTCCTGTCTCTGAGGCTTGCTCCAAACCCTTCCTGCTTTTCCTTATTGTGCTGGTGGGATTGTCCTGTTCAGCACAGAAGTGCACACTTTATCATCCTGAGGTTGTATTGACAACACACAAGCCATTTAGATGGGGATGATCATCAGAGGGTCTAGTTAGGCCATAGGTGTAAAACTAACACAAGAGAGATTGGGGCTAACACAAAACGAGGAACAAGATGAACCCCGAACAGCCTCGATTACAATAGCCTTGTTTGGATATTTCATAGAAAACCCTGTGATGGCAGTGTTGAAGCCAGCAACAGAACAGCAATATCATTTTGCCTCGTGTCCACAAGTGGTAGGCTCATTTGCCCAGTATTGCCTTTGCTTACCTTGCTGCATAGTGATGGGGTTCCCCTAGCTGAGATGACTCCATGGCATTGAAACCATTCTGTCTCCCCACTTTTGCCTGGAACTCCTCTATATAAAGAGGGCTTGCTTGGTTCTGCTATTGCAGGGAAGACCTTAGTCCTTTGTTAGTAGCAGTTTTCCTTTCCAGGATCCATAAAATGGCAGTTAAATCAATTTGCATCCCTGGAAAGTTCTTTATGCTCCATCGAGTCCAACCAAGCCCTTCCTTGCCAAGCACTTTCTCACTGCTGTGGCAGGAAAAATCCTCCTAACGCTGAGTTCTCTTGACTGCCTCTGGAATAGCCTTGTAATAGAGGTGGTGGAAACCCCATCGCTTGAGTCATTTACAACTGGGCTGAACAAGACACTGTAAAACACCCCATAAAGCACAATTCAGCGTGGGTCACTCAGTCCTGCCGCGAGGCCAAACAAGCCTTTTCCATCCCTGATGTTCCTACGACTGTACATGAATCATGTGGTGCATGTTTCTGACCCTTTTTCCTTAGCACTGAATCATTTCACACTCTGACATCTGAGAAGCCGAGGAATATCAAAGCTCACGCATCTCAAACGTGGTGAGATGAGGGTGTTTATGCAAGCACATGCTACCCACTGTGGGGTTTTCGTTCTCAGGGTGCATGCGATGTGCTCATCCGAGCTTGTTGGCATTCCAAATATTGTATTATTATTATTACTACAAAATAGAGCAAAAACTCCTGCAGGGTTGGCTAGGAAAAGGATAAGGGGATATGCACAAAGGGTAAGGGGACGTGCACGGTTGTCCTGGGTTTGAGTGCAAGGTTATGTTGTAGGAACATGCACTTTTTTTGACAGCTTGAATGAGTTTGAAACTATCTTTTAACAGGTCAGCCCAGCTGGTATTAAAAATACAAAGAGTTTGTTTTAAAGGGCTTTGGGGATGGTTTATTTTCAGCATGAACTTCCAAGATCTATGTCAGAATAGATGCTCTATCCTGCTTCTGCTGATGGTGGTCCAAGCTAGACAAGCATCGGCTAGAAATAGTGCAGGCATGGCCCCCATTTGGGAGCAAACAGGCTAAGTGTGGGATCTAAGTAATCCACGAGTCTATGAGAGCTTCTGGAGTTGTTTTCAGCCTGACGTTTGCGTAATTCCCCCTTCATGCTTCTTTCTCGTCGGTCCTGCTTAGCCTGAAGAATACCAATGGGTTTCTTTCTCTGAAGATGCCTCAGGTGCCCTGCAGTTCAATGTGAGCTTACTGTTGTTCTTTGTCCTTGTGTTTGTCTTGGCTGTGATTTGCAGGGGGACTTTGGTGAGGCAGGATTTCCAGGGATTGCAGGCATGTTTGGGCCAAAGGTAAGAGGCTGTCTTGTGACCCGTTGGCTTTCTAGTCCCTCTTTACTGGGGACAGACAATGCAATAGTTGTTGCAAAGGCTTTGTGAGCAGCTCTGCAGAAACTATGGAAACTGAATTGTGACTCCAACTTCCTTAGTTAATACATCTTCATTTATTGACTGTGGGCTTGCATATGCTTTGTTGGTGCTTGTTCCTGTTAAAATGAGCAGACGATAGAGGCGAAAGGGCTGTTCAATGGACTTTGGAGCTGTTTTCCCCACCTGAACATCTTTCAGATGCTTGTGTTTCCAGCATCACAGAATCACAGAGTGGTTTGTGTTGGAAGGGACCTTAAAGCTCATCCAGTTCCAACCCCCTGCTGTAGGAAGGGACACCTTCCACTAGAGCAGCTTGCTCCAAGCTCCTGTTGGAAAACAGGAGTGGGAAAAGAGCTGTTAAGAAACTGGACTTTCCTATTCCCATAGGCAAGAGGCAGCTGCTCTGTGCAGCAAGGACATAAACGTATGGGCTATGTTTATTAATGGGACCTGACTTCTCCTCTTTGTTCACAGGGCCCCCCAGGAGACCTCGGTTTCAAAGGCATTCAGGGACCCCGTGGGCCTCCTGGTCTCATGGTGAGTGGGTTTCAGTTTGTTTGCTTTGGGTGGATTTTCTCCCCTCTGTTTCTATGTGGCTCCAGGGTGCTATAAGGAGCACAGTGCCCTCTTCACTGCATGGGTATCTTCTGCCTTGGAGACAGTCTCACTGCTATACCCACGGCACAGACAGCTCCAGCTACACTGAGATCCTTCTATTCCTGGGCTTTCTGAGGTTTTCCATGGGTTGTGACACCAAACTGTGAGGGTTTGTGTCTATGGAGCTGCGTTTGAAACAGCTTATTTCAGCTGCAGCAAATACCATGGTCGTGCTGCTGAGAAGCAGCAAAGAGCTTCAGCATCTTTACTGAGTCTGAAGTGGTAAAAGCAAACCATCAGTTCACACCTATCGTTTCTTTCCTAGGGAAAGGAAGGCATTATTGGTCCTCTTGGCATTCAGGGTCCCAGGGGAAGCCCAGTAAGTATCTGCACTTTTTCTAGCTGTGTTCTAGAGCAGTGTTTGAGATGCATGAGTAAATCCCTGCTGTAAAGAGTGAAATGAAATGGTCTTTAAGATGAGCAGCTTGAAAGGCAGGTTTAGTCTCTGGCTGTGTATATAGTTGCATGAGGAGCAGCTCTACCCTAAGTGTGCCAGTTTGGTACAGAGGCTGCTACTGGCAGAGGTGAAACCCAGCAAGATGAACACAGGCAATGCCAAAACATCCAGTAATGGGCAATTTTATCGCCTTGGGATGAGCGGGGCAATACAGGAACCTGAGCTGATGTGTTTAGGGATGCACCTGGCTCCTTGCAAGGAGCTTCTGGGTGGCAATACATCCTGGCAATGCAGGTCAATAACAGTCACTGACAGCCACCTCTGTGCTTCAACAGGGGCCCAAGGGAGACAAAGGCAGCCGTGGAGACATGGTAAGTACTGATCTGCGCCCTGTGTCCCTCTCCTTGAGCAGCCAAGAGTCACACCAGGCTCCACTGCACCCACATGGGCTCTGGCTCAGTGTGGTGGCACCAGTCTCACGTGAGGGCAACACACAACACACACACACCCCATACAAGTGTGCACACACATGTGTGCATGCACATCCACATGTGCACCTATCCACCCGCTCTGCTGTTTAGATTCCCATTTCAGAGCCCAATTCCACAGCAAAATCTAACACTTTATCATGTTAGCGATGACCAGGAACAAATCACAGTGAATGGCAGCTCAAAAAGCCACAGGCTGCCCAGGCCAGGGGCATGGGACATGCTTAAGTAACATCACTGCCTGGGTGCAGTCCCCATTGTATGAGGGAGCAGTGCCAGCGCATGTTCTTGCCTTCTGCTCTTCCTCTGGTCCTCTTCTTGTGGTGGTTGTGATAGACTTCTTTACCTTCTCACAGCATCTTGGTGTTCCCACCATACAGGAGGTGTGTGGGGATGCTGGATACATGCTATACATCCTCCTTGTTACCCATAACAGGGACGGTTAGCTCTCCAGGTTGTTTCTTACAGCAACCAGTGGCTGTTCCTGCACGCAGGGGCTTGTTCCAGGCATCCCAGCACACACAGTGTGTGGTTGGTTCAGAAGGCTGGTTTGTGCCTTCTTCAAACAAGACCTCTTATAAGCCCAAATCCTAGTGCACATTTCTAACCAGCCAGGGTGCTGCCTCTCTCCTTGCTCACCGTTTTCCACCTCCATGGACACAGCAGAGCATCGGCTGATGTTGAGGCCATCAGCATCCTGTTGTAACCTCTCTGCTGTAGATGGTTTGGACCCTGCTTCCACTGTCCTTCAGTGCAGAACCCAGCCCTCGCACAGGCACCTCAGGAACAGCACACAGTGAGATGTATATAGATATACAGAGATAGATGGAGATTTTGGTTCATTAATGAGCATCTTCTGACAGCTGTTGCCTTTTCTTTCCTTCTTTTTCTTCTGCAGGGTCTGCAAGGTCCAAGGGTAAGTGTTTGAAATCACTTTTTCTGACTAATATCTCGTGTTTAAATAAAGCAGATGCTTTTAGCAAATGGAAAGCTGCAGGGTGGGTAGCTGTGGATGCAGGGAACGTGATGACTACCTGGGGATGTGGCATTAATGATAGTTAAAGAGCTAAAGGCTGGGAACAAGGGATGCACTAGGAATGGACCAGGTGAAGACAGATGCGCTCGGAGTCGGGAGGTGGATGAAATGAAACCACCTCCTGTCTCCTGAAGGGGTTGAGGGAGAAGATGCTGTAAGAGGTTGGAAACCTGGAGGATTCCAGCAGGGAAATAGAGCTGTACACTGCAGGTATTGCACTAACTGATGCCGCTCTGTCTTTAGGGTCCTCCAGGCCCACGAGGACACCCTGGCCCTCCGGTACGTATGTGTGGAAAGGGTTCAAAGACATGATTGAAGCAAAGTTAAATTTACTGCTGCGTCTCCAGAGGTTCTGTTCACTCATTGGAAATTATAGCTTAGCCCCATTCCTCGTTTGCAAAACCATGTGTGTGAATGGAGCAGTGTTTCTTGTGCTTCAGCCCAAACCATCTCCAAGTATCTTATATAGAGACAGCATTGTTGCCTCCCTCACTCATCTGCATTGGGGGACTCCAGGGGGAAGAGGATGAACATGAGTGAATACCTTTGCAGCAGTGATTGCCCATCCTTCTGGCTGATGCCCCTTTTTCTGCTTTGCTTTCCAGGGACCGCCAGGAATTCCGGCCTCGTTTGTAAGTTGCTGTTTTCTCTCTGTTTGTTAACACTGATAATAAGTGATGCAGCGCCAAGGTGCTGATGGGACATCCAGAAAGAGCTGCTGGGAGCCTGAAGACACACGCTCGGGTCCAGCAAGAGCTGCAGAGCAATGCTTGAATCACAGCCCTAGACTGAGAAGCATTTGCTTGCATGAGGGCAGCTTCTAACAATCTCAGTTACCATCTCTTTCACCCCACCCTAGCAACAAGACAGCTTTGGGGCAGCTTTCCAGACACTGATCGACTCGAACACCGCACTCAAGACAGAGGTAGGAGAGTCCTTTTGAACTCACCGGTCTTTGCTGGGAACAATCAGGGTTTTGTTTGCTCTTTGTGTGTGCTTAACGTTTATACACACAAAGCTGCTGGTTGAGGCCGTTCTTATGGAACATCTGGGGTTTATGCATGAAAAGATCCCTTTTAAGTATGTGGTTGTGTTGCGTTTGTGACGATTGAGACCTCATCCCTTTAGAGATGTCCCATTCAGGAGAGTGCATGGGATGAAGTTCACTGGGTCCCAGACACAGCCCGTCTTTGCCCCACTGATTTTTGCCCCATATAAAGCAGAAACCCTTATGGTTACAGCGTCTTGTGCCCCCCCCAAGACACACCTGACTTTGCATCCTTCTCTCTCCAGGGTTACCAACATCCAGACTTCCTCATGCTGGACCACGGAGGGGAGATCTTTAAGACACTACACTACCTCAGCAACCTCATTCAGAGCATCAAGAGACCCCTGGGAACCAAGGAAAACCCCGCACGCATCTGTCGAGACCTCATGAACTGTGAACAGAAGATGAACGATGGTAGGAAGCCCTGAGCCTGTGATGGCTGCGTCCTCCATAGGGCAAATTCACATGGCCCAAACTGGTCTCCTCCCATGGGAGCAGTAATGCAGCTATTAGAACTCACCTTTTCTCATCACATCAAAGATAAAGTGCTCTTTTTAACCCCCAAATCTTCTGTTTCTTCAGGTACCTACTGGATAGACCCAAACCTCGGCTGTTCCTCGGACACCATTCAGGTCACCTGTAACTTCACCAGTGGTGGGCAGACGTGTCTCAGCCCCATCACCGTCTCCAAGGTACACACAGCTCAACCCCAGCATGGCATTTCCCATACACTGTTATGAAATATTTACCCAGGAGTGTGTCATCCCGGAGCACCACCACTGCCCGCTATGGCAGAGCCCATTGGCTTCTCCTCGAGGCAGAATTGGTGTAGCTGTGATTGCTCTCACGCAGCTTAAAACCATACCCAAGAGCGCTCTTGACTCTTGAAGACAAAGCAGGGCTTTTCCAGCAGTGTTTGGTTAACCCATAACCCAAACAGAGGGCAGGAATTCTGCAAACACACTGCTCCCAAATGCTTTGTTGGATTATTTAATGTCCTGGTCACAAAGCGAGGTCAAGCTCCAACATCCAGCTTTCTAACTCCAGGGCTTTTATTGAGGAAGCTTCTGTAATAACAATAGCAGTATCAATACCGGTGTTCATCTGCAGATGAACTGAACCTGCCGCCTTGCTTCGTTGCAGGAGTGTGTCTGGAACTCCAAGTTTACATTATTATCCCTTACGGACCTGACTGCTCTCAATAAAGGAGCTGCTGTGTCCATAGGGAAACCGTCCACGTTGACTTGGCATCTGGCCTTAATGCCCATAGACCCGATCCGTCCCTGCACATCCAGAGCACAGGGACCACCTCTACTGTTACACCATGCACTGATGCCCCAGCCCCGCTCCAGGGGTACCCCTAACACCTCTGTCCCGTCCACAGCTGGATTTCGACGTCGGCAGGGTGCAGATGAACTTCCTGCGGCTCCTGAGCTCGGAGGCGGTGCAGCACATCACCATCCACTGCCTCAACGCCTCCGTCTGGCACGACGGCTCCTCCTCGGAGCCTACGGATAGCGCCGTGCGCTTCCGGGCCTGGAATGGGCAGGTGTTTGAGGCACGGGGGCAGCTCAGGCCGGAGGTGGCAGCGGATGACTGCAGGGTGAGTTGCTGCAAGAGAGGGGAGAGATGGAGATGTCGCGTTGAACCCATTCTGCACACAGCAAGGTGCAAGTTGTACCTGTGCTGCTTATTCCATCAAGAAGAAGGGGGACGGGTCTAGTTTACCTGTTCACTGCTTTGTTTTTTCAGCCCAGGGTGCTAGAGCAGCTCCTGTTAAGTAGATAAGCCTTCAAGTAGAAAGAGAAGTGTTCAGTTCCAGAGTTAAGTGGCATGTGTGTCAGCAGTTAGATGGTAGAAGGGGGAATTGCCCCTTGGATCTTGCCTGGAGTCAGTAGCTGTGTGTCTGTACTTGGGTTCACTTCATTAGGGGTGGTGTTTGGGGGGTACCATTTCAAGCTCAGTTTGACCTGCAAAAAGGATCCCCAAAATACTCTCTAATTCTCAACCCAAAGGTCAGTCCCTTATTACCTGCAGGGCTTTTCTACCTTACACCTCAGAAACACATCCCTTTCCAGCAGTGGGGTTGGAACTGGATGATCTTAAGGTCCTTTCCAACCCAAACCATTCTGTGATTCATACCCCAATTAAACAGCTCTTTCTCCGTCCCTCTGCCCTGCACAGATCAAGGATGGACGCTGGCATCGGACTCTCTTTTCCTTTCGGACACAGGACCCTCAGCAGCTGCCTATTGTCAACATCTACAACCTCCCTCCATCCGAGCCAGGAAAGCAATATCACCTCGAGGTCGGCCCCGTGTGCTTCCTTTGAACAAAGCCACAGAAACCTGGATCCAAGGCTTTGACCCCACGTTTGGCCTAAGCCTTTACACAGGCTCTCCCACCTCTCTGCAGCAAGGACAGCGGGGCTGTGTCTTTCGGGTCAACTCTTGCTCTTAGCCTTTGGCTCAAGGTCTCAAAGAACCCGTGATCTACTGAACTCAGCAGGTTGTTGGAAGGAGGAGTAACAAGGGCGAAGGGGAAGCGGGTATCAGTCGGGATGCGAAGACGAAAAGGGATCCAGATGTTGCCAGCGGTTCCACACACAAAGCTTTTTCCATGACCAAAGAAAACAGAGAGAAACCTCAAGCAGCTCGCAGTGTGGGTTGTTTTGGGGGTTCCCCCCACCCTAAACCCCATTTGTTTTCCCTGGTTCCTGAGTTACCAAATGTTCTTGCCATTGAAAAGTGATTAAAAGGATAGAGCTTCCCTCTCAGAGCTTGTCGCCTTCTGGATGGCCACGTGCTGCATCAGGTCTCCCAGGCGGAGCTGCGAGTTGAATCTGGCTGCTCTGTGTACCGGAAGCATTTTGATGTGCAATATTAGAAAGAAACAAAATATATATATTATATTATTTAAAGCAAAAAAAAAAAAAAAAGAAGAAAAAGAAAAGAGAAAAAAAAATATATAATAAACTAGGTTCCTCCTTTCCATGTTTAACAGCATCCCTCCTCGTGCGCGGCATTGGGATAAGGGAGAGTCCCGAAGCCGAGTAGGGGGGAATGGAAGGAGGAGAGGGGAAGAGATTGGTGCTAAAACAAGAGAGAGAGGATGGGCTCGTCTGCTTTGTTTCTACCTCTCACTGTGAAATCTCTGGTGCTCTTAACAAAGTGTCTTGTTTTATATGTATGACTTTATTTAAAGTTGTGAAGGTGCTACAGTGTCTTGCCACAGACCCCCAGTAGAGAACCCCATGGGACCACCTCTCTACGAAGAGGGGATGAGGTGATGCTCCACAGCTAAATCAGGAAACAGCCACCTCTAAAGGGATCCTTTAGTCCCCATGGATGCCAAAAATCACTTGTTCAAAGGGTGTTTTCAAAGCAAATTCGATGATTTAACTTCTGGTTCAACAGCACTTCACTGCTTTGGGAGGGGAGTGAGGGCTGCAAGCCCTGAGCCTCAGAGAGAGCTGTATTTGAGTCCGGTTGTCATGCAACTCCCTCTGGTCTAAGCTCGTGTTCCCTGGTCTAAGGTCGTATTTAACCCTTCAGTCTGGCCCCTCTGTCAAGACTGCTGCGACGGTTCCTTGCTCCAGAACCCAGCCGGGCTTGGAGGGGTTTGGTTTTGTTAAGTTTTGTAGAAAATTTTAGTCTTTATATGTAAATTTGGAGGATTTTTTTTTTTGGTTGGTTTTTAAAGAGGTTAATTATGGTAATCTTTAATTCTATATAAGGAATAATATTGATGTAATCGGAGCCGTACTGTATCAGAAACGCTTCAGTGCCTGGATGGAGTTTTCGTGTCTCTTACGGACTATGGATTTTATTTTTCTGAGGAAAAAAAAAGAAGTTATTTGTGAGTTTCTTTGTGTATTCATTCCCCTTCTCTAACTACTGCCTGGTGGTGGCTTCCCAACAGCCATCAGAGAAGGCTAAACCAGATCTGCCCCATATACCTCACCCTCCTCGCAGCCCTGCCTTGGCTCAGGAATACCTCACCCTCGGGGCCGGCTCGCCCCGGTACCCCCAGGCTGAAATCACAGTCACTCACTGCCCGCTTGCTGCCTTCCCCTGCACACACACACAGAACCCCCCGGGGTTGTCCCTCTGTTGCCATCAGCTCCTGTTTGTTCTCATTCAAGTTTTTTTTTTCTATTTTTTTCCCTTTTTTTTTTTTTTTTTTTTTTTTTGGACTTTAATAAATATTTAAAACTGAGGCAATGAAACGGGGCTGCTGTGGGTTTATTTGCTTCTTCGTGGGAAGATGAATGGGCAACGAGTGCAGAAAAACTCCACTCTTGAGCATGTTAACCTTGACAGCCCTGGGGAGCCCACAGCCCTCAGCAGGATGCTAAATGCAAGTGCACAAGGTCGGGATGCTGATGGCTCCCCACTGCTGGGCATCACCCCACCACCCATAAAGAGCAGCTCTGCCTTGGAGCCAGGCTGGGAGAGCTGGGCTGGGGCAGCCTGGAGAAGAGAAGGCTCCTGAAGGGGAGACCTGAGAGCAGCTCCAGTGCCTGAAGGGGCTGCAGGAAACCTGGAGAGGGGCTTGGGACAAGGGATGTAGGGACAGGCCAAGGGGAATGGCTTTAACCTGCCCGAGGGGAGACTGAGATGAGCTCTTAGGCAGAAGCTCTTCCCTGTGAGGGTGCTGAGGCGCTGGCACAGGGTGCCCAGAGAAGCTGTGGCTGCCCCATCCCTGGCAGTGTTCAAGGCCAGGTTGGACACAGGGGTCTGGAGCAAGCTGCTCTAGTGGAAGCTTTAAGGTCCCTTCTAACCCCAGCCAGTTGGGATTCCACAAGCTCAGTATCTAACAGCTGAAGCCTCATGGAACCTGTTTCCCTCTTCTGCAAAATTACTCAGATAACCATAAACCTTAAATTATATCCTGACAGCAGCAGGGAGCAAGAGGAGAAAGGAGAAAGAAAGAGAAAGCCGAGCTTATGCTTTTCACATGAAGCCCAAATCACATCTCATTGCTCCAAGCTGATTTGAAACCCATCTTCCCCTTGCTCCAGAGCCCCAGCCTCAGACTAAAGCCTTATCCCTGCCACCACAAGCACCACACACATTGGGGACAGCAGCAAAGCCCCTATGGGCTCAAGCTGGGGTAGGGGGACGTTGGGTGACCCCTCACACCCCATCACACCGCACACTATGGGAGCTGGCCCTGGGTTGCATCAGGGACAGCGGGAAGCGGCCGTGCTCTGTTTGCTCACCCCACACTGCTCCCCTTCCCGGCAGTGCTCCTGCAGCTGGGACGGGGGGGCTGAGGGACACCCCCGGGCAGTGTAGGGTGCTGGGGCCAGGTCAGCATTGGCCTGACCCATGTGAGCCGGTCACACACAGCTCCTGCGGGCAGGGACACAGCAAACACGGCCCGTGCATAAATCACTGCGCTCCATTGTGAGCCGGGGTTGGAGCAAACACAAACCCCTTAAAGGGAGATCCTGCCTTTAAAGGTGGTGTAATGTCTTCATGCTGCTAAAAGCCCAAACCCACAGCGTGGGTTGTTCCCTGCCTTGTGCCCAAGACCGTTGTTACCAGTTATTTTAGCTTGCTTGAATTACTTACAATAATTAATTACTCTAAGGTAAGTAATTTATCAGCTGTGTATGTTAACAGCATCCGCAGCCCAAAAGCCACTTTATCATTGCAGCACTAGGATGAGACAAGCAACAAGCACCACAAGGCTACCAGCACACAACAGGGAGCTCAGCTCCTAATTTTCATAGCTTAAGGGGTGCCATGAACGTGCTGCTGGGCTGGCATTGGCAGCACAGGACACTGGCACCGCTGGGAAGAGGAAGGAGATGGGGCAGAGGGTGTTTTGATTTTAAACAGTGCAGCTTAGCATCAGAAAACAGAGACTGGTTTGGGTTGGAAGGGACCTTAAAGCTCATCCAGCTCCAACCCCTGCCACAGGCAGGGACACCTTCCACTAGAGCAGCTTGCTCCAAGCCCCTGTGTCCAACCTGGCCTTGAACACTGCCAGGGATGGGGCAGCCACAGCTTCTCTGGGCACCCTGTGCCAGCGCCTCAGCACCCTCACAGGGAAGAGCTTCTGCCTGAGAGCTCATCTCAGTCTCCCCTCTGGCAGGTTAAAGCCATTCTCCTTGGCCTGTCCCTACAGGCCCTTGTCCCAAGCCCCTCTCCAGGTTTCCTGCAGCCCCTTTAGGCACTGGAGCTGCTCTCAGGTCTCTCCTTCAGGAGCCTTCTCTTCTCCAGGCTGCCCCAGCCCAGCTCTCCCAGCCTGGCTCCAGAGCAGAGCTGCTCCAGCCCTCATCATCTTTGGGACCTCTGTCCTCATCCCAGCAGCTCCAGGTCCTTCCCATGCCAAGGACTCCCCCCATCCCCAGCAGCACCCACATGGATGCAGACCCAAACCCCTGACATCCCCATGGGAGAGCAGCCGCCTCCAGCCCCCACCATGGGTGTTTATGTGCCCCATGGAGGAAAACCACATCCAGGGGCCGTTTGGACAAAGAGGCACCCACAAAACTGCGGTTTCCATGCTCCAAAGCCTGCACTGGTGCAAGCAGGGGTTGGGCTTTCCCCTCTTTTGCAGGTTCGGTTTCCTCCACGTACTATTGCCTCATAGCTGAGCAAACAGCCCCGCAGCTGAACAAGCACATCAGGGCTGGCGATGGCCCCGTTTGCAGGTGCTGTATATAAGGGACAGAGCCAGGCAGCAGCCGCTCAGTGCAGGAGCCTCCTCTCATCCAGCCCAGCGATGCTGCCCGGCCTCATCTTCCTCCTGGGGCTGCCGCTCACCCTCGCAGCCCCAACTTGTGCCCCACTCATCCCGGTCACCTTCGACAATGCCACCATCCCTCGGGTAAGCACTGGTCCTTTCCTATCAGCATCACTGGGTGCAGGGGGAGGTTACGGACCCAATTGACAGCTCAATGCTGATTTCCCTTACAAGAAGTCAAGCTCCTGCTGCCCGGGAGCACGGGAAGAGGTGAAGCCTTGCAGCTCTGCTCCCATAACCTCATGAGCAGGGCACCTGTGGGTGGCTCCTGCTTCCATGTCCCCACTCAAATCAGGCTGGGCAGCACCATCCCTCGTGTGCTGCCATTCTATTGTGAGCCCTTCGAGTGTCAGGGAGTCTCCATCCACAAAACCCTTCACTGCATGAACAGGATTTAGTCCCTTGGGGATGTTTAATGGGAGGAAAGCAACGAGCACCAGGCACAGAGCAGAGGGGACAGCACTGCAGTGCTGACCACCCAGAGAGCTGGAGCATCACTTGAGCAAGGAGGGCACAAACCCAAGGGCCCCTTACCCAGGCTGGATCCTACCTGGGGCAGTCACACACTGGGGCAGAGCAGGGCGCAATGGATGCTTTTACTCCCATGGTGCTCAAGGATGAGCCCAGCAAGGACCCCCACCACCACCCCAAACCAGCCCCATTCTGCTCCTCTCCGCAGCTCCTGGGACACTGGATCTACATCGCCGGTGCCTCCAGGTACCCGCCTCACCTGGAGGAGCTGAGAGCCCTGAAGCACGCAGCTTTCTCCTTCTCTCCCAGCAGCCACGAGGACGAGCTCGACGTCACTGAAATCATGCGGCTGTAAGGATGGGATTCACCCCTCAGCAGCATCCCCCATCCCCAAGGGCCCCTGGGGCCACCCCTCCCTCACAGACACGGGGCTGCGGAGCAGCCGTGCCCAAGTGTTTGGGTTCTGAACCCCTTGGGGAGGGCAGTTTGGGGGGAAGAATTTGTCCCATCTGAGCCCTCTGCCCTGCAGGAATGAGACGTGCCTGGAGAGGAACAGCAGCAAGGTCCTGGTCTTTCGGGACAACTCCACCTTGGCGCATGGTAAAGCCCCGGCTGCGATGGATGGGATGGGACATGGGGACCGTGACACAGCCACACCTTGCACCCTGCCGCTTCTGCCCCACAGCGTTTGGCATCAGGCCCCTTTCCACCTAAAACCATGTCTGGAGGGGGTGGGAG